CAAATTATAAGAATTGAATAACATTTTGTTCAAATACAATCTTCAGGACATTAACAAATACAAAGAATATATAACATTTAATTCAAAGAAAACTACTTATTATTAAAATATCTTTAGGATACTAGACAGGTACGGACTTTTTAACACAGAAGGTATATCTTACAATGAGTTTAACAAAGTTTAATAGGAACATGCAGGTAACAAAGGGAGACCACTGTCAGAAAGCATCGATATGGGTCCAACTTATGTTCTTTTCACTACATACATCGACACAAATTTAGATGCTACGAGTGACAGGAGTCTCTGCCTGATATTCGCAGGTTCCTAATTCAAATTGTTTTATTGTTGAAAAATACATCGTATTGACAAAGACAGAAAACAAATATATACATATTTAAAAAAATGTGTACATACTAATATAAATGTATATTGTACCCAGATACAAACAACCGATTGCAACAATATTCATTAAAATTTATGGGTACGACAAACTTTGACAGAGTTTGAGAATGTGATTTGTCTTAATGATATGAACATCAAATTACGTTCAGTCTAATAAAATTATACGATCATTAGATATTGAAAGATATATATAAGTGTTCTTCCAACTGGGTGTCAATTACAATATAGAATTACAAAATATATAAAAATATAATTATTTGTATGAATTGTATTAAATTTAAAACTGGCTGATTGGCTAAGGATCTATATATATTTTTTATTATAATTTATAGATACTGTAAAATAGAAGGTTAGATTTTTTATTTAAAATTGTACAATATTTATTGTATTATCTAAATTGGGCTTTTTTTCTTTATTTTGGACATATCGAGAGCCACAATGCAGGACCTCGTAACTAACATTGCCACTGAAAATTATATTTTATGATAATCTCGTTTAAAAGATTCCACTCCATCTACTGTATAAATGAAGTATGTATTAAAATTTTTGAACAAAATATGGTTAAATTTTAGTCCCATTATAGAGTAAAATGGATTGTTCTATGCACTTGTGAATCTTTTTTTATCTCTTGAAAAATTTTGATTTTGCGACTTACGAGGTCTAGCCTTGTTGCCTTCGATATGTTGTTTACAGTCGTCAAAAGTAATTGTAAAATATATAAAAATATTAAGGTATAAATAAGTAAATTACATACAACTTAATTATATTATTTTTGAAAGAACTCTCGATCATTGCCTGATTAGAAATACGTCTTGTATTAGAAAAGTATTACATTTTTTTAACTATTATGCTTTATAAATTTTTTTATTGAGCTAGAATATACATTGGTCTACTTATTATAAGGTATACTTTCCCTTTTAAAAATTCTATAGCAGTATATGAAATACAAAACATACACAACATATTACAAGTAGATATTTTGATAAGAGTATCAGGTGTACAAATTATAACAACTACATGCCATTTATTGACATTTAATTCTAATAAAACTACCTATTTGAAAACATTAACGACACAGTAAAAATGTTCCAGCATTGATACTTATCATATTTCTCTTCTTTAACACAGGTAGAACTTGCTAAGGGAACGAGTGTAACATTGCATCATTTATACGTCTGCTGTCTTTTTTGATATCTGTACCACATTTAGTTTGTTTAGATATCTGCATTTCTGTCTTCTTTACTGTATTTCTGCAATTAAAAAAAATCACTATTTAACAGATATTTACATGGAAAGATTTAAGATTATTAAATTTGCATGCTTATAGCTGTGCTTGTTTATCATCATATAGGATGCATCTGATGAAATGTGAATTTTTATCACGTAACAGAAGATTAGGGTTAAATGTAGATGTAATAAAGAAACACTCTAGACCTACTAGCCATGTGGTAAAAATGACAATGACAAGTTTTATACTTTTTGTGTTTGACCTTTGAGTCATTATAATATGAATACAAAAGTAGTTGTCGTTGTAAATTTTCTTATGATTATTTACTTTAAAAATATTTTTTGAATTAAAATACCTACTCTCTAGTTACTGATGGTTAGCGATACCTATATTATAGAAAAAATCTAAATTTGAAAACTTAACAAAAATCAAACAAATGATCACTTTTATATTCATGAGCATATATGGCTAGCATAAACAAAGGATAAATCGATAAACCTGTAACTGAACCTGGCATGGAACGAATCCAACAACAAAAAATGTCAGGTTTGACAATCCTCAAAATATCATTTTAAATAAAGAAAATATAAACAAACGCAGATGTAGTAGATGTGAACAAACAAATAATAATGCTCCAGAGGTAAAAAATGTGCATATTCAAATGCAAGCATATGAAACGAATAGTACATGACATTCAATCAAGTCACTTAAACATAAGAATGAATTCTTTTGTTTCGTTTTCAATAATTTCTATTGGGAGATCATCTCCACTATCTAAATTGCTTAAAATTCTGTAAAACAGTGGTATAATATAGACTGCATAGGCATTATGTTTAAATGAAGTATAAATAAACCTACCTAGCCTCCTTTGCATGAACTTCTGTAGCATGTTCTCTTTTTGATTACTTGGCAAAAATTAAGTAGCAGTAGCATTCCTTCTAATCACAGTTTTATCACTGACTAAAATTCAAAATGCTTCGAACATATTTTAAAATTTTCTTTGTGTGATCTTCCAATACTTTTTACTTTCCTATCTGTATACAGATATAAGGAAAGTATAGGAATCATGATTTTTTTCGACCTCGAGTTTTCGACGGATTTTTACGTTTTGAGGTCCCCTGAATCCGTTTTGACTATTTTCGCGATGATGTCTGTGTGTGTGTGTGTGTGTGTGTGTCTGTGTGTGTGTGTGTGTGTGTCTGTATAACGCATAACTCATGAACCGATACACAGAAAAACACCAAATTTTAAACTTAAGCTTTGTTTCAGCGTCCAATGAGCTGATTAGATTTTGGGCAGAGTCGGAACATCTGGGGGGGTACTTTATAGGTGGTCATTTTTATATTTTATGGAATTTATCTGTTATTTACGTTTGGAGAAGAAATTTCTTCAAATAAAAGTTACTTCTAATATAATTATCTATAATTTTTGTTCTATGCAAAATTTTCCTAAAATGGTCCGTATTCGAGAAATTTGACAAAATGTAAAAAAAAATATTTTTTATAAAAATTGTTCAAATAAAAGTTGTTTGTAATATAATTGTCTATAATTTTTATTCTATACATAATTTCTCTAAAATGGACCGTATTCGAGATATTTGAGAAAATGTGTAAATTTCGAATTTTGAAGAAAACTCAAAAACGGATAAAGAAAAAAACATTAAATTTTAAACTTAAGGTTTATTTTGGACTGACGTGAAATGATTAGATTTTGGACAAAGTCGGAACATCTGGGGGGGTACTTTATGGGAGGCCGTTTTTATATTTTATGGAAAATATCTGTTATTTATGTTTGGAGAAGAAAATTGTTCAAATAAAAGTTACTTCTAATATTATTATCTATAATTTTTGTTTTATGTCAAAATTTCCTGAAATGGTCCGTATTCGAGAAATTTGACAAAATGTGCAAAATTCTGAATTTTATGAAAATTGTTGAACTAAAAGTTGTTTGAGATATCGATCTCTATAATTTTTGTTTATACATGATTTTTCTGAAATGGACCGTAATGGAAAAGTGCTAAATTAAAATTTTTCAGTATTTTCGTTTTCAATGAATATCTATAGAAAAATGTTTCGAGGTAGATGTATGTGGACAATGTATATATTTAGTTTATCCTCTAAACATTTATAGAGATGCTGCAATAGGTTGTACAAAATAACTGAAAAAGCCTATAATAACTAGATAGGAAAGTCATGTGTTGGACACATCAGATTTTTATCTAACCTAAAACAGATAAAAATTAATAAATATAATTTATAACTACATGCTGGTTATGAAACACATTTAATCTGGTAACTTACACATTAATGAATGATTTTGGTTAGTTTTCAATAATTTCTTTTGGTAGATCTTCTAAAGCCAGCACTATTAGAACTGCTTAAAATTCTATTAAAAAATGGTTTGAAAAGTTTACTAAAAAAAAGAAGGCTTCATTATAAATAGTGTTAGCACGCATATAGGGTATTACCTATATTTAAATGAAATAGAAATAAAACTTACCTAGCATCCTTTGGTGACATTTTCTGTTCATGAGCTTCTGGAACATGTTCTTTTTTTTATTACTTGGCCAAAATAAAGTAGGAGTGGCATTCTTTTTAATCACAGTTTTATCACTGACTAAAATTCAAAATAAGAAATGCTTGAACGATTTTGAAATATTTCCTTGGCATACATTTTCTTTATAGGAGCTTCCATTACATTAAGCCTTTTTTTTCTAACCTAAAAGACAAATAAAAACGAATAATTATATATAACTAGACAAGGTTTTTATTAGAACCCCAGTATGGATACTGGGCTAGAACAATAATTAAATACCTAATTGATTCATCCAAAAATAATTGTTAAATACGGGTCTGTATTGGTGTTAAAAACTTACTTATGACAAGTTCTTCGGAATTATTTCATCGGTTTGGACAGAATAAAACTAAACATGTTTTAACCATTGTTTAAAGAAGTCTTTAGGACGTCTTTAGGGATCAAAATAACTTTCCAAAACTCACAAAAACTTTAAAAATCGTACAAAAATTGCTAAAAATTACAACAATCACAAGACAACTAAATGTCAAATGTCACAATATTCTAACTAATGCGCAGACTCAAATCCTCCCCCGCATTTACGCTATCGTATTATAAACGTTTTTGCTTGCCACCCATAGACATATCTATGTTGCCACCCGGGCAGCCATTTTCCTATCTCCCCTCTTCATGTCTATGCATACCCAATCGAACATCAAACACTGATGTTGCTCGCGGAGTGCTCTCAGATTGCCCCAAAGTGTTGAATCGAAAACGCTATAAGAATTAAAGGTTAAGTAGGTTAGGTTAAAACTTGAAAAAGTGATAAAAGATTTATTAGATAAAAGCATAAAAAGATAAATGGTTATCTTGGTGCATCCATTGCTGTTAAAAAATGGAAAAAAGTGCAAACATTAAAGGGTGTAATATTCCAAACATTTTTCAATCCATGGCTTACGGTGCGAATTTGGATAATATGCAGGAAGCTCTTGTAAGTTTTAATATAATTGAAAATTACTTTTATCAACTGATATCAATAATAAGTCTTAAAACCTAATTTTAAAGATATTTTTTTAATTAATTAATTTTTAGGACTGGTTAAAATGTAGTAAAGATAATGTATTTTTTGCCTATGTTGATAAACCTACTGAAAAGCCAAATGGTGTGCCATTCAAACTAGAAAATGTAATTAAAAATGAATGTCTGTGCACTATTCATATACCTGAAATTGAAACTATTCAGAAAGTATTATCCAAAACTACAGACAAAAAATGGGCTGACCAGGATTCCTTGGAAAAAACAAAAATACTTTACAAGTTTGAATTTTAAGTTTAATTATACAGGCATATTTAATTTATAATATAATTTTTAGAATAAGCACAGAAATAGAAAAACGGTCTGATTTATTTGCACAACTAGAAATGTTGACTCGAGGTATTTTGTCAAAAGATACAAAACATAAAGCTTTGCCATTGTTAGCTCAGTATTTTAGATATTATTCAGCATTTGCCTTTACTTCCGTTAATGAATCTTCAACACCAAAACCACTAGGTATGATTTTTTTTATATAAATAATAAAAATAGTTGCCCTCATGTCTATAGAAACTGGTGTCAATATTTAAATGTTAAAACTCAACCCAACAAACATTTTGTGTAGGGGATTAAAAGGTCTAATAAATGTTACCCTCCAATTGTAATTATGGCCATTTGACTTTATAATATTAAAAGGATGGCATACATAGATCAATAAGGCCAACAATCTGACTAAAGTCACTTAGCCATCAAATCCAGTTAATAGGCCTTCATTTCTCATTTAATGTCTGTAGAACTAAATATTTTGGTAATTAATGGCCAATAGATCAGAAGTTAATGGGAATTTGCAGGTATTTTACCATATTAATAGCAGTTGAAATCCTTTTGAGTTTATCACTAAGGGTGTGTACATGCCAAAGATGCCTCGTTGAGTGATGACTGATGATCGATAGGCGATGGTTAAGTACATGTCAATCGATGTAATACAAATGTTCAGATTTAAATGAGAGTGTGCATACCAAAGATTAGCACACCCTTGATGCTTACATCAATATTTACCACAATATTTACAAGCTTCTTGAACGCGATTGGCTCTCCGTTAGCGGTAGCACACGTCGTAGAATATAATGTGTAGTATTAAACAATAAATCAATTTTTATAAAGGGACATCCCAAATGGAAGAAAAATTCTGCTTCTATTTGAAGATGCTCCAAAAAAATCTCTATATTATGTCTCAGTATAATTAAAAAAGGAGTCTCTCATTATGATGCTTTTTGACAACAGTATAACATGAATGTAATATAAAAAATATTATGATTTAACTCTGTAGCGCACTACAGTAGACCAATGCAGTATCTTTCTTTACCTCGCTGAGATTACGTACATAAACGAGCTGAACTAAATCAACAGCAGTTGACTTCGAAAATGGTCGAGGCACCGAACATAAACAAAGACAAGAAGGGTTACTCTAAGCGCCTCCCCTAATGTTGCCTTTCTCGCTCACTTCTACATTTAACACTAAAGTTTTCATATGCACGGTTAAATTGCACTTTAATTTCACAGGAGTATAATTAGACGCTTGTGTCATTTTTATTGCACAATTTCACTATCAATATCGCTTTTTATCGCCTATTATTACAGAACTAACAATTCTGCGTGTTACAATCACAGGACTATACTAACAGAAATGTAAATCTTAACTAAAATAATTTACAATCTGCATAACACTTTCTGCGGATTAGAAATTTTATTCCTTTCTAAGAAAGTTGAGAGCTACTTAAATTGATCTTGAATTGTAAATATTATATACCTTTAGAGATTACATACTTTATTTGTGTTGATTAAAATTACTAGAAAATTTAAGACAAGAATTGAAATAAATTGATATTTTTAAAAATTTTAGGAATAAAACCAAATATTTTATTTTGAAACAAATAATGCTTAACATTTTATTTTAGAAATTCTCCGTCTCCTGGGTCATAATTTTTTTTCTATTATTCATTTTCAAATAAAATATAATCTTTTTTTAGCCATAACAATAGTTCGTATTTAAAAACACCTCATCTCCACAAATTCTTACACAAATGTGTTTTTAGGTACTGCTGTGGGAATAATATCAAATGAAAATTATTTAGCTTACTTAGGACTGTTAGTGGCTCCTGCATTAGCTGCTGGTTGTAATGTTGTTCTTCAGGTGGGCACTCAATTAACACCAGCTGCATTTTTATTGCAAGATATAGCAAAAGCAGCAGGGTAATCCTTAAAAAGATATTCATAAAATATGTGATACATTTGTAATTTTCTAGATTACCAGATGGTACATTCAAAATTATTCCTTCTGACGATGGAGAACTTTTACCCTACTTAAGTTCTCAACACATTGATATCATTACTTTATTTGTAGACTTGAATAATGAAAAATACAAAGGGATCAATTCTTTAAATAAAAAAATTCTTGCCTGTAAGTAAAATAGATCATTTTAAAAATTTGCTATTAAAATTAGTGTTATACTTTTTTTAGTAAGTTCTTATAAGACACCAGCTATTATTTTTGAAAGTGCAGATTTGGAATCGGCTTCTGAAAGTGTTATTGAATCTTCTTGGAGCTACCAGAGTCTGGTAAAAGGTTACTTTTTATATTAACATTTTAATTTTTTTTTCAAAGCAAATTTCATAGAAATTATAGCATATTTGGTTTTGTTATTATCAGTTGTAAATATATGCAATGCATTTCTTAATTTTAGCTTCCTTGGAGCACAGACACAATCTTGGTCCAAGAAAATGTCTTAGAAACGTTCTTCGACAAGCTAAAATCTAAACTATGTACACTTAAAGTAGCTGCTGCAAATGATACAGCTGCCAATATTTCAATTGCAAACAAATCAAGTCTAGAGAGTCTCAACAAGCTAATAAATCAAGCAAAATTTCAAGGAATCGAAGTATTTCAAGCACAACATGATTCAACTAAATGGACTCCTACTTTATTAAAAGGGGGAAGAGTGAATACTAATAATGCTCTTGGTTCCAGTGAAAATGAGGCCAAAGCTGTCACGATTTTGGCATTTAGGTCCATCGATGAGGCTGTTAATTTGGCTAATAACAACTGGCAAGGTTTGTGGGCATCAGTTTGGTCAGATAATGTTGGGGTGGTTAATGAAGTCAGCAGAAAACTAAAGGTAAGGTCACGCAAAGCCGACTCTGTTTACTACCTTACCCGCGATATGAAGCCTAGCGCTGGCCATATAAGGGTTGTAAAAAGTAAAAAGCAAAATCTCGCTTTTTTGTGATTCTTGTTTTTGGTCTGTGTGCCTAAACAGTGAGCAAAAAGTGAAGAAAATGGAAAAAACTTTTAATAATAAGGGACAATGGCCCTAAAATGCAGCATATACTACAAATGCCCGCTTCGCTTTCAAACTCGATGACTGTTATTACTGGTGATTAGATCTGAGCAGAGAAAATATTTTTTCTACACAGATTTTATTTTTTTAATGAATAATTTTAGCTATAAGACAAAAGCGGTGTGACGAAGTCACTAAATTTTATTTTTAATTCATCTTAAAAATGTATATTTCAATTAATTCCCGCCTGAGAACATGTAGAAGTTCCCCCGTATTTCCCAGGAATTGCCGTTTTTCAACAATTGCGAGTACCCTCGTAGATTGAAATATTCTTATATTTGCCGAAATCCGAATGGGCATTTTTAGAGTCGATTTCATATGGATTATCTACCTTTTATTTGTCAAGGGCATTTTTTTTTATTTTTAAATTGTAAACAGTCGGCTGTAGTAGTGGTATCCCCACTTTGTCGTACTGGTCTTACATCTTGCTTTACCGAAAAAGCATAAATTCATGGAGAGCTGAAAATGACAGCCTCTTGATTCCCGACATCCGAGAAGTACTCAGCTTTCTTTAATTTATAGTGAATATGCCGTGATATCGATTAATTAATTGGTTGACCCGTTGGATTTGTTAAGATAGGAACCGTATATTATTTTTTTATATTGGCTTTTATATAATTAGTTAGGACACCCGTGTGACAAGCGAAGAATTTTGATTCACATCCAGGATATATTATTTCATCCCTCAGTGGGAAACCGTTGGCAATTTTTTATTTGTAGACTAGACACCGAGTGCTCTCTTTGTCAACGACTATATCCAATTTCTTTTAAAAACTGCTCAGTTAACATCGAAGTGAGAGATCCGACCTGTTTGCGATTTTTTATTATTTTATTGTTTTATTTTTCTTTTTCGGTGGTTCGATCCGTTTACTGGGTTAGAGAGCGCTCTCTCCTGATGACGTATAATTTCCCAAAAAGACGTTTAAATTAATGTCCGCGCCTCACTTCGTGTAAAATTTCTTTCCTTTTAATATATTTTTTTTATTATTCATCTGTATTTGAATCATTCCGTTTCCCCTGTCCACAATTAGTTATTGAATGAAGTCAGACGACTTCTGTAAAATTAAATTCACACCTACGCTCTCGCTAGACTCTGGGAAAAATTCAAAAATATTATTTTCTACGACCGTCGTGGTCGTTCAAAATACCGCGTAAATAAACCATATTTATCAGTAGGCGAGAATTTTCGTTTCCCATCGCTTGGGTATTAAGATACAAGGGGGCTCCGACAATCTTGAGTTCATTTATTTGTTTGCATTTGATTACCGTCATATTTAAATTGTTTATTTTCATACATTTTCCGTATACTGGGCGTTTCACGATTCCCAGTCCGATTAGCCTCCTGTGCCAATAAACCATAAATATTTCTATATGTTTAAATAATTTTCAACTTTAATAATTTATTTTTAACAAATTTTCCGAATACGGGGATCCGTCAATATTTAAATAATTTTCAACTTTAATAATTCATTTTTATTCAATTTTCCGGATATAGGGATCCGTCAATATTTAAATACTTTTCAATTTTAATAAATTATTTTTAAAGAATAGATTTTCCGAATGCAGGGAGCCGTTCATATATAATTACCGTTGTATTTATTTTTTTGTAAATATATATTTTAGTACCTATTCCTGTGTTTCTCTTATTACTGGTTCTTAACCGTTCTCTTTCAGGGCACCGTAGGGTACGAGGTGTAAAGGAGATAAGTTTTATTTTTATTTATTCTAGTATAGTGGCTACCTAGTAGTGACCGCCTGGAATTATTTTTACCTCAACTGAGTTCACCTTGAGTACACTCTGGTGTATCACAGGGTCGCAGAGCAAACTGCGATACCAAAACTGGCGCCTGAGCAACCCCTATTCGGGAATTACATTCATAGCGCCACACAGACTCGCTGATTCACTGTAGGTGAACCAGGAGCCTGTCACAGCGGCTAATTAATTTGTTGACTTCATGTCTGATCTCTAATTTTGAGATTTAAGTTTGTAGGTTAATTTAAAGGAGACAGGTAAATACAACGACAAATTTCTCCCTCTTCTCGATCCTTCTGCTATGAGAACATCGGATCACTCGGAGGATCAATTCAAACACGTTAGCAGCACTCGGAGATCTCCGATGATCAAATAAAACGCACCAATAGAAACAAACGCACTGGTTCGAGAAGCTACCAGAGAGATCGCCTCGCGGCGGCCAAGTCATAAGAGAAGGAGTTCCCGGACGTTCTAGATTGCCGACAAACTAGTGCAGAGCTGGCTTTATATAAATAGCGCGAGTTTATCGGAAGACGTTAAGTTTCAATAAAAGTGTTGTATAGTAAAGACACATTGTAATAAATAAATTAGAATTGTGAGTTATAATAGTGCCTAAGTATTAAATAAATTAATAGCTACGTTATAAATAAATTAAAAATAAACTGTTTTTAAATTAAACAATCGTTACATTGGTGTTAGAAGTGGAACTGTCAATACATAGTGGACAAAAATGACTAAGAAACTGTGTGATTTAAAAGTGGCTGAGTTATGTCGAGAGTTAGAAGAACGAGAACTGGAGACGACAGGGAAGAAATCAGAGCTGTCAGAAAAAAGCACTAGAAAATGAAGCTTGGATTCGGAAACGTATCTATTTTCTAGTGATTCATCTTCTGCTATAATTTCTTCAAATATGGAAAGTAAGATCTCTTCCTTAAAAAATGAAATGTCTTCTGATATAAACTCTATGAAAACCGATATTTCCTCTAACATGTATTCTTTAAAAACCGAAATTTCATCCGATTTTGAAACTAAAATATCTTCCATAGAAAATAAAGTTTCTTCAGATGTTTCTTATATAAAAAATTATATTTCTTAGAAGAAAAGGTGTCTTCCGAAATGTTTTCTATGAAAAACGAAATTTCTTCAAATTTAGAATACAAAATCTCTTCTTTGAGAGATTAAATTTCTTCTGATGTCTTATCTAAAAAATGACATTTCTGCTGATGTTGAAAATAAGATGACTTCCGTGAGGAAAAAATAATGTCTTCCGTTGAGGAGAAAATAAAATGAAGGAAAAGAAGATAGAAAAAATGAAACATGTAGACCAGGCCAAGGACGGTGAAATAAAGTGCCATGAGGTGGATTCAAAGTTGAAAGGAGTTGTAAATTCTGCCCGTGTTAAAGCCCCAACTTTCGACGGGAAGATGTCATGGATCTTAAACAGTTTGAAACAGCTGCCAGAGCAGACGAATGGTCTAAACGAGAGAGGGCAGTAAATTTGACCATCTCTCTTCAAGGAGACGCTTTAGATGTCCTTCAGACTATACCTGTAGAAGAGACTGATGATTTTGAATAACTCAAAAAGAGATTAAACATGCGATATGGCCATGAACACTTGGAGCAGGGGTACCGATTACAGTTAAAGAATCGCAAACAGAAACGTGACGAGAGGCTTCAAGAATTCGAATTAGATATTGGAAAGATGGTGCGATTTGCCTACCATCAGCTCCGGAATACATGATTGAATGTTTGTCTTGTCCGCTGCTCTTGAATATGAAGCGGCTACGCTGGCTTCTGGTGGATACAGTGAAGTAAGAACTGTAAAAGAGAAAGAACAGGGAAATAAATTTGACCAATTGTTTCACATGATAAAAAGCCTTATTGAGAAGCAACCGAAGACTATTAGGTGCTGGAATTGCGAAGAAATGGGAAATGTAAGCAGTTCGCGCAAACTGCCAAAGAACACTACGAATCGAAAATCTGTGTCGGTAGCTGTACAGGAAGGAACAGTGGTGCCTGATAGATGTGAAACTATAAGAGTAATGCGGTTGCAAGGAACTGTAGAAAGACCTGTTATGGTGGAACCTTCGAAGTGTAATGAAGGTGTTGGTCAAGGAACTCTGTTTGGAAAGGGGTTGGCCACATCTGCTAAAGAAGTTACAGTACGACGAACGCTGGTTGTCAGCGATGAGTGGGCTCCTGTCAAACTTAATGAAGAACAAGAGAACGATCATGTTTTAAAGAAGATGCGACAATGGAAAGAGGAAAATTGTCGACCCACTTGGCAAGAAGTATCGAAACTGCAGTAATTAAGTCATATGAGTACTAGAGAACGATGATGGTTCCGAAAACAGTTGGTCATTCCAAAGACGAGAGTAGCCGAAGTACTTTGCCAGTTACACGACAGTCCATCAGGAGGACATCTCGGTGTTATGAAAAACCTTCAGAGTTTGTGAAAGGTTTTATTGGATAAACAGTTTCGATGATGTAAAGGACTAGTGTAAGAAATGTACCACCTCTGTGCTATGAGTATTGGACCCCAACGAAAAAGGACGCCCTCCATGAAGCAGTACAACGTCGGTAGCCCATTTGAGAGGATTGCCTTAGATATTGCTGGACTATTCCCCATGACTGAGGATGGTAATAAATACATGCTGGTGGTTGTTTTGTGTCACCTACTATTTATTTTGGTTTGGTTAATGATACTCATTTTCGAACACTATGTATTTATTAATTCATCAAAAAACAAATAAACTATATGGTTGAAAAAAACGGTAAAATAATGTCTACGTAACGGTAGAAAAGAATAGCGAATAAATGATGTCATCAAAACTGAAACAATAGCGTCTCGCGCACTTGATTAGTTTTTTATCGGGCTCTAGCGGCAACACTCGTCAGGGTTCCGATGTCGTTTATTGGCGGTATAAATCGCAGATGGACAGGGTTGTCGGTTTTCCTGTGATTGGTGATCTCCAACAGTGGTTATGGATTATTTCACGAAATTGGTGGAAGTCTACGCCATTCCAAATCAAGAGGCCGCAACTATTGCAGACGTGTTAATAAAAGAATGCATCAGTAGATTAGAGTGTCCTTGTAGATCCTCAATGACCAAGGCAGACATTTTGAAAGCCAGCTTTTCCGAGGAATCTGTGACAGACCATGAAGAAAACCAGAACTACGGCATTGCACCCACAGTCAGATGGAATAGTAGAGCGAATTAATATGATCATAGGCAAATATCTGTCAAAAGTCGGATGAGGCAATGGCATATAGAACCGCTGTCAATGAATCTACAAGCCAAACAAACAGTAAAGGTGCTGTTCGGGCGTAAGATGAGACTACTGTGCGACCTCGAGTTTGGATACCGACCTGGAGAAGACATAGCCAGTGAAGATTATGTGATCTAGCTACGACAGAAATGGACGACATGCATGAATTAGTTCGCTCGCATCTTCAAATTGCCAGCGACAGAATGAAGAAGCGATACGATACCCAAGCCATAGAAGGATGTTTCAAGGAAGGCGACAAAGTCTGACTCCATAACCCAAAAAGACAAAAGGGTTATTCTCCGAAGATTCAGAGGTCTTGGGAAGGTCCGTACATCATTAAGAAAAAAATAAATGATGTCATTTACCATATAAGTAAGGTCCCGAACGGTTAACCGAAGGTAGTTCACCAAAACTGGCAGGCGCCATTTGAGGGTGACCATGACGACGAAGAAAAAGTACACCAGCTCCAAGAATCACCTGACCTTGTCTTTGAAGAATTTATGGGTGCATATGGAGATACCGGAAAAGCAAGACACGGTGTTACAACCGAGCAACAACAAGATCTGCTCACGGTTCCCAAAGACTACTCGCTGATCCGTAGCACTTCCGCCAACAACAACGATGCTCGAGGTCTGGCATCTATGTTCCGGAAGAAGTTTGGTCGATTGCCAGAACTTCAAGAGCAGTTACCAGTCCCTGGAAAAGCATTAAAACTTCAATATGGATCGCGTTGGTAACAGAGAACACTTTCCGAGATCGATCCATTTAATACGATGTATGTGAGGAATTACTTAGTCTGAGGGAGCATGTACTGGAGTACAATGTACAGAAACTAGCCATGCCCAAGATAGAGAGCAACCAGCTAAATTGGAGGATCATTATACACATGCTGGAAGTAAAAGGACCAAAAACCGTCCCTTGTTATTTCCATACGAATGGAAATTGTAAAAGTGGGTCCAGTTGCAGATACAATCATTCAGTTTTAGTTCCAGGAGCAACTATTTCTTATGGAGGGGGCACTACTTCGAGAAGCTACCAGAGAGATTGCTGCGCGGTGGCTGAGTCATAGAGAAGTTCCCGGACGTTCTAGATCGCTGAGAAACTACTAGTATAGAACTGGCTTTATATAAATAGCGCGAGTTTGTCGGAAGACGCTGTTTCAATCAAAGTGTTGGATAGTAAAGACAAATTGTAATAAATAAATTAGAATTGTGAGTTATAATAGTGCTTAAGTGTTAAATAAATTAATTACTACGTAATAAATAAATAAACTATTTTTAAATTAAACAATCGTTACAGTAATTATTTCTAATCATAGACACAAGCACTTTGAGTTACGCGTTCAAATAAAATTAAATCTATTCACTTTTGAATCGTCAACAGAGAGGTAAAAGCAGTTGCATATGTTAAATAAATGAATAAGAAAAGATTTGGTTTAGAAATTAACTAATTAATTGTGACCTAATCTTTCTGGCAGATAAAATTTTCTACTGTTAATTTTGATATTGCTTCCCTTTTACCATCCATGGTTTGGATTGGTTCTTGGCTTAGGAATCAGTGCAAAAACTTTGTTGCGTTTTAATTAATTATATTGCCATTTTCTTATATGCCAGTTTAGTGTGATGTCATTTTAGTTCCACTAACATTTAATTTTAACCAAACTTTTAACAAAAACATCAATAAATTTGACATATACCTTTTTTACTGTGTTGTTTTTTCTAAATATTGTCTGCAGGTCATAAAACATAGTTTAAAGGTATGTAATTGGTAACTAAACGATTGTATATTTGATGCATGTTAGGAATATATTTATAAAAGTGAAAAAATTATATAATTTAAGTAAACAAAACGCACTCAAAACATCTACTCTCACTTTAATTGTCAGTGGAACCATAATTACATCATTACTGAAATGGCGTATTGGAATTTTAAAGTATACATTAAATAAATCTTTCAATGGATGGGTACTTTTTTATTTACTGTCCAAAATCAATATTAATTAATTAATATTATTGTTGTAGAATTCTTAATTTTAATACTGACAATTTTATGTTAAAATATTTTAGGTCAGTAATATTTGGATAAACAGTAGTTATGGTTTAATTACCCCAGAAGTCGTTATATCACCTATTAAAGAAAGTGGTACTGGCAATTTTGGAGGCAAAGAAGGTACACAGATTATAGTAAACTATTTTAATTTTCATAATTTCCAGTCGATTTTTTAATAAAATTTCGAAAAATTGCCATTTTTAGGATACTTGGAATATTTATGTTTAAAGAAAACTGATCAAAACGTTTCTTTTAAAAACACTTCAGCTAAATCAACTCTTAATATAGATGCGCTTGTAAACAGTGCAAAAGCAGCTCAACAGAGCTGGCAAAAAGTACCAAGGATTCAAAAACAAAAAATATTTCAGGAATTTGCAGACTATATACTCAGAGCTAAAAATGCAGGGTAAGAAGCTGAATAAGCAAAAATTACTCCCGCTTGTATTATATATTAAATTTGTTTCAGATCTCCAGAACAATCATGGTTAACTTCTACATTAAAACATGTATACACAGCAATTAAAGACTGCTATAAAGGTAACATTTCATCAACAATATCTAGATATCACTTGACTTCTGCCTGTGCGCCCAGAGGAATTGTGGTCATAGACAAACACGAAAATTTAAACATTCAATTGATTCTGACTGCACTTTTCGAAGGGAACTCATTGATACTGCTTGGTCTAGAAGGCGATTTTGAAAATACATTTAAATTTTTGAGTCAGAAATTGCCGAACAGCGTTTTAAACATAGTGCCTTACGATCAGAGTCATGTTAAAAAACTAGCAGCTAATAAACAAATTGGTGTATTCTTTGGCAATGATTCTGATCACATTTTTGGAAATTTGCCTTTAAGAGATTCAAAAAATTACAGAGCTGTGTCTGATGTAAGAGAAGATTTGTACGGAAAAATAGTTTACATAAAAAATGTGTGGAGTGATATAGGTAAATCAAGCACATGCAATTTTAATTGAAATGATTATAATGTATTTTTGGGGTTATTTTTTATAAACGTTTTAACATTTATTTGTCTTATTTAATCAGCTTATACCTAAACTGACAGACCAGATCCTAACCAATTTCTTCAAATACACATAATTTTGTTTAGGGGTATTTCCATGAAGTGGTTTTATGAAATTTGCAGGAAAATTCCTATTGTACAACATAAAAATTTAGAGGCTTTTTACTTTAATGCATGGCACCTAAAAATACAATATTAATTAAATAATTATAAAAACAACTTAATATTACTAGAAATAAAATTTATTTCAGTGACCAGTTTTATACAATACTTAAACAGTTCATAGGATGTAAAATTTACGTGTAAGGAAAATATTTACATAAAGTATAATCACAAAAAAAACTTGTTTTGATAACATTAATAAAAAGGTAAACGGCTAAAATGTATATTGATAAAATTAAAATAAATAATTTCTTTTTGAGACCCTAAGTCTAAAGAGTTCTCAGTGTAAACACTTCTAAGTTGGAAAAGATGGAATGGAAAGCTCTTACTTTTAAACCTTATTCCGTTTTAATTGGGTGAGCCTGTAAAATAAAAAAAAGTGTCAATTTTAAATTCTTGATCAAATATATTTTTCTTTCAAATCTTGTTCTACAAAGAATGATACGCTGATTTTTGGTAAACTCAATTTATTCTCAAACTTTTACAATATAATTATTACATTAAAATACAACATTGTTGCTGAATCGAAAATTTCCCACTTTTTCCACACACACTAAAAAAATGTTTTCGATTTAACTATAGTCCGGAAAAGCGATCTATTTAATAAAAATTAAAATAAATTTCAATATTTCAGTTGATCTAGTGGCTAAATACGTACGTCTGTCATAAAACTGAACTATGGCGTCAAGATCATCTTTTCATTATTAAAGTTTTACTAAGTTTCTTTCTGTAATATACACTTTGTTGTATGTTTTTTAAATAATCAATCATCTTATTTACAATTCCTCTAATGCTATATTTATCTAGTTTGTTGATTAACATGTGACTTACATAGTCAAATGCTTTAGACATATCAGTAAATATAGAAAGGAATTGTGATTTAGTTTTCAAACATTCCTGAATGTTGTTAGGTAATTAAAGCTAGCAAGGTATCTGTGATTGTTTTTCCATGTCTAAAACCATATTGTGCAGCAAAAAACAGGTTGAAGTTTTCAAAGAATGGAATAATTTGTTTTACCATAACATTTTCAAAACATGGTAATATAATTTGGTGGAAGTTTTCAGGGGTTCTGAATCATCTCCTTTTTGTGGCCTTGTAGAACATGTTAAAAATATATAGAAAAGTACATTCATCTAAACAAGTTTATTACTTCAGTAATAGAACCAACAATATTTTGGGTGCAGTTCTTTAATAAATGGGTATTAATGTCCATATATCTTGAGTTCTTGTATTATACCCATATCAAATTTAGAAAAATGAATGATTTACAAAATAGTGATTATTTAACGTTTCTGAATTGATAAGTCCTGTTTTATTATTTGCCATACAGTTTTAGATTTATTGTCTGAATTATTAATTTTTTGGAGTAAGTTATTTTGTTTTGCATTTTTTATTTTTGAAAGAGTAAAACCAAATTTGGTAGATTTTCACACTTTTATTTTAAAAAATAAAAATTTTTAAACAAACACTAACATGACATATGTTTCGAAGTACAACTTCTTTTGAAAAAGAAGTTGTACTTCGAAACATATGTCATGTTAGTGTTTGTTTAAAAATTTTTATTTTTTAAAATAAAAGTGTGAAAATCTACCAAATTTGGTTTTACTCTTTCAAAATTAAATGGATTTTCATCAAGTAAAGGCCGAAACAATAAATAATTGCATTTTTTAGTAATACATTATAAATAGTTTTCTCTTGTTGATATCAGTTACATAATTAATTAACCAGTTAAGCCAAATAGTTATTTATAGTAAATCTTACTGAATATTTAGTGGTTTAGAGTAACTATTATTCAACTATGTGAACATTTCGATGAAAAGAAACATTTATAAATAATTTAAATAGGGTGTGAGAACTTACCCACTGTTTCGCCATTATTAAAACTGTGTTCTCGTCCAATTTGGGACCAATGAGCGGATTCATTTGAGCTACATAGCAGCATAACCAACTAGAAACAAAAAATATAAATTCAATTTACATAAATATATGGGGCCACAGTCAGTGGTGTAGCCAGCCATTTTTCAGAGGTTTTTGGGAACTATGGGGGGTCCCTTCATGTGAGAAATTCTGACTCCCCCGTGGCTACAGTATATTTTAAAGAAATACAGTAATAGATCCTTCATAAAACATACATACACTTTGTTTTATAGTATCTAATACATATAAAATTACAGTAGCTCATATTATTTTATATATCGTAATAGAAACTATTGTACTTACAACAACCAACAGCATACTCCAGTTAACATCAAAATGACTTGAATAATTCTGAAATAAAAAGTAGTGTTACAACTATAGTTCTAATTTTGAAAAAAATATTTACCCTCTATTGGGTCCTTTGGGAACAAAAAACGGTAGTCCTATACCAACACCACCCCATAACACAGTGAAAATAATGAAGGGAATTATTGTTGCGCCCATTTTTTAAATTTAATGTAGGTAAAAATCAATTCACGTGAAATATTTTGACCAAAGTAAACATCAGATGTCAAAATCATATGACTCAGTCAGTTGTACCAACGTAATTATCAAGAGGTCAAACCACTCCCTCTTCTGGCCTCACACTTTATACCACATTCAATCACTAAAAAGAAGGATTTTCTGAAAGAAAAGACCTTGATCGAAGGAAAATACAATAAAAGCACAGCAAATAGCAATATAAAATTAATAATGGGGTGTTTAGATAAAAACTTTATAAGCATTTATCTAAAAAAAGGCTAACTGGTAACTTGTTGCATAATTCACAAATAAAAAAGAAGAAGCAGGAAAAGTCTTAACCTCAATTCCTTACTAAGGGTCTATTTATACTCCCTTATTATTAGTATTTGCATTAGTATTATGATTAAGCATTAAGTTGAACCTTCACAATGTAATGGGGACATTTATACTCGATTTATGATTAGTATTAGCATTAATATTTATGCTTAATAATTGACAGGTTCAACTTTTAAATTAAATATTAAATTTCTTCTTTTCTATAAAATGAATCAATAACGTATTTGGCCTTTGTTTTTAATAGACAAAGGATAGGGATAATTGACAATACACATATGATTATATTGTTTATATGTTTGTTCCAACAAGCTCGAAAACGATAATATTTTGGTACAAATCATGCGCTGTATACAATTTTTGTGTATCAGCAGTGTTTACCGATTATAAAGTTGACAAATGACATGTCACCACGAGGAAGCAAAGGCCTCTTTTCTGTCTGATTTGTATCAAATTTCTGCTTCTTTTTATCTGTTATAAATTTGAGACTGAAATCCGTTAAAATGTCCTTAATTAAACCTATTTTTGAATAATAATATTTTTAAATAAAATTAACTAGTAAAAATATTAATAAAAATACATTTAAAACTCAAATATCTTAAAAGAACGCAACTCTGGCCTCTTACATATTTCTTCAGTAACCATATATTTTGTTGACTGCAGAATTATATCTTATTAGGTATTAGATTAGGTTTAAAAAAGAATTGCTAATACTAATTATAAAACGAGTATAAATACCTTTTTTGAATGATTTAACAAATTTAATGCTTAATCATAATACTAATACAAATACTAATACTAAGGGAGTATAAATAGACCCTAAATTTTTTAAACATTTAAAAACTTTATTATAGAAAATATCGATAATATTATAAAAAACATGTCCATTACTGCTAGACATTGTTTGTCTAAAATTTTCCAACCCATAACCGCTACTTCAAAAAATTCAAAAATAACTAGACAACAGGTTACCTCCAAGAGCCAGAGGGTTTGTTGAATATTTGAGGTTCCAAAAAAATAATAATTTTCAATTTTTTTAGTTAATGCTGGAACTTGGTATCATACAGCAATCAATACCAGGATGCTTTCATTTGCTACCCCTAGGAGTTAAATCCTTAGACAAATTAATAAAAATAATAGATAATGAAATGTTCAAAATTGGTGGTCAAAAGGTTCTGTTTCCTACTCTTACTAACAGTAAACTTTGGAATGAAAGTGGTAAGCAACTTACCTGAAGTTATATTTATTATGAACAACAATTATAAAGGTGGATTCATAAACTATGTTCAGTTCACCCTCAGTTCGAGTTCAACATAAACAGAGCAAAATGACACGGTAAGTATGTTTTGGATAAGAAGTTATAACGGATTCATAAATATTTTATAACCAACACCATCTACCAATATAATTAAAACAAAAATAACACCAAAAAATAATTTTATTTTGTGGAATTTGTGGTTATGTCTTGCCAACTGCAACTGAGCGCGAACTGAACGTAGTTTATGAATCCACCTTTAGTCTCTTTAAGTTTTTGTATCCTTCACAATGTACTCTTTTGTGCCATTTCAAATTTGACCCTCATATAGGATTGCTGAACATGTCCTTTTCTATTGGCAATTTGTTAATGTCCGGCCGACTTTTTCCAACTTAGGAAAAATTGTTAAATATAATTTCGAAGTTGTTTATGATAGTAAAAAGTGCAAAATTCAACTGGCCAAACATAAAAATGTAACCAATACCATTAGGAGCTCAGTAGAAGGATATCTTTTTTGTGAAAAATCAGGCTTTTTTTGTTCAATTGTCCTACTTTTACACATTGTCTAATATGAAAACCCTACCCCCATATAGAATTGTAGAGGTTTAAACAGTAAAACCAACGATTTTCTTAGAAGTTCGTTAGATCATAACTTCGACATCATTCCAGCTGTGGAAACATGGTTGCAACAAGGGGTGAATGATGGCGAAATTATAGATACAAATATGTATCACTTAGTAAGAGCAAATAGAGATCTAGAACTTACAAATAAGGTAAGAGGTGGGGGTGTTTTTCTTGCTTTAACCAAAAAGTATAAACTAATTAAAACTGTTAAAAAATGTAGTAATTTTGAAGCATTAGCCGTACATTTTAAAATAGGTAACAAAATATTTACTTTTATAGTTTTATATATACCTCCAAATAGTTCAAATCATGTTTATGAATCACTTTTTAACTTTGTACAGGAACAGACAGTTGATATTGAGAGTACATACATATTTGGAGATTTCAATATTAATGATATTACAGGGACTGACTTTAGTTTCAACAGAGCTCTAAACCAAAAATTAAACATCTTGTATCAATTCTTAAATTTTAATACCTTCACATTTTTTAATAATGTTAAAAATTTTCAAGATAAAACTCTTGACTTGGCAATTTGTTCCGAAAATAATAAACAGTACTGTAATGTAGTTAGAGATTCTACTCCATTCGTTAAAGAAGATTTATACCATCCGAGTCTTGACATAATAATTAAATATACCAAAACCGAAAAATCATACAATCATACAACGCAAAAAATTACCGAAAATCGATACAATTTTAAAAAAGCAAACTTTGAAAGTCTTGCGTTTAAGGTGCGGGATACGGATTGGACAGCAGTTTTGTTGGAATCAAATGTAAACGCAGCTCTAGACACCTTCTATAAAATATGGAATGCTATTTTATCACAGTGTGTTCCTAAGTTTAAAAAATTCGAATATTATAATAAATTTCCAATCTGGTTTACGAAAGAAATAAAGGAAGCATTGACAGAAAAATGTAAGTATAGGAAGCTACAAAATATATCAAATTTTTATAAAGAAAAATATTTAGAAATGAAAAGACATGCTAAAGCACTTGTAAAAAAAGAAGAGAGTAGGTACCTCAAAGAATTGCAAGAAAATGTGGGTGTTGATATTAGTTGTTTTTGGAATTATGTTAAGGGCGGCGTCTGGCCATATATCGAAAACTGTTTATTTGAACAATTTCGCAATTTTTTTTTACAAAATTGTTAAAAGAAAATACTTAAAAATGATTTTAACTTTGTAACTTTCCGCTATGTCACGTAATATATAACATAATTGTGTTTTCGTAAAAAAATCTATATAATTTTAAACCAAGCTTTTTAAAAAACTAAACAATATTTTGAAGTGCGATGTGTTTCATAATTTTTCTGTGTTGGTTGTACGGGTTGTAACGGAAAGACAATATGTAAATATGTTTAGTTTCAAAGAAAATTCCTATGTAAGTCAAGGCGATTATGTGGTTTAGATACCAAAAGTCAAAGTCATTTTTCGAGTACTTTAAAACAACTCCGTTTCTTAAGAAGTCTTTACAACCCCTAGGCATACTTCATGAACGGTTTTCAATATTAAAATTAATGCCAGGAAGTATATTTTTCCCGAAAGCTTGGTTTAAAGTCAACCGCGCATATAAGGCAGATTTCTATGGGTGAACGCCAACCTTAATAATAGAAGAGAAAACTGCACAGTAAATAGTAATTTTATTTATCAAGGAAATATAGTGGAAGATCAAAAAACCGCAGATGTTTTTGCGGAATTTTTCTCTTCAATATATGACATTAATAAAGCTGATTACAAGTTAGATTTTAATAACGAAGTGAATAATATTTGCGATTCTTTTTTAATTAAAAACATTTCTGATGTTGATTTTGATAATGCGGTCAAAAAATTAAAGCCGAAAAAAGCTGAGGGTACGGATGGTATTCCACCATATGTTTTAAAAGGTTGTAGTGAATGGCTAAGAAAGCCCCTTACTTATATTTTTAATTTAATTCTTAACACAAAAGTATTTCCAGTGCAATGGAAAACTGCTGTCACTACACCGATTTATAAGTCTGGTGGAAAATCAAATGTAGAAAATTACCGGCCTATTTCGATAATGTGTGCCCCATCTAAACTATTTGAACAGATAATATATACCAAACTATATAAATACATAGAAAAATACATAGTATCTCAGCAACACGGTTTTATGTCAAATAAATCTATAAATACTAATTTGTTCATTTTTGGAAATCAAGCATTCGAAACTTTGGGAGCTAAATCTCAAATGGATACAATTTTTACAGATTTTCGAAAAGCATTTGATCGTGTAAATCATGATGTACTTCTAAAAAAAACTAGTAAAATTTGGGTTGTCTGAACACTTTATAGAATTAATAAAATGCTATTTAGAAAACAGAAAGTTTGTAGTTAGACATAATGGAAATGTTTCTGGAAAATATCATGAAAATTCCGGAGTACCACAGGGCTCTAATCTTGGACCTCTACTATTTAATATATTCATTAATGATCTTTCCTATGTTCTTAAGCACGCTGAGTGTCTTCTATTTGCAGATGACCTCAAAATTTACAGTAGAATAAACTCAGTTCGAGATTGTGTTATGCTACAAAAAGATATACATAGGGTTTATGAATGGAGTGTGATTAACAAACTGAATTTTAACATCAGTAAATGTAAAGTGATGAGTATAACTCGTTCCAGGGAAGCAATTTTATTCGAATATGAGATGGGAGGGGATACCTTGGTAAGATGCATAGAAACTAAAGACCTTGGTGTAACCTACAACAACGTCTTTTCATTTGCTACACACGTAAAAAATATAGTTTCCGCAGCAAATAAGATATTGGGATTCGTAATAAGACAAACAGCAAATTTTACAAACATTAACACCATAAAGCTGTTATATTTTACTCTAGTAAGACCTAAATTGGACTTCGCATCAACTCTTTGGTTTTCTGAGTACACAAGTTGCTTAAAAACAGTAGAGAAAATTCAAAATAAATTTCTTCGATATTTATATTACAAAAAATATCGTATTTGGCCTGACTACAATACAGTTAGATCAAGTCATCTCAGAAATGAATTTAAAATATTATCATTGGAACAAAGAAGAACTTTATCTGCTGTTATGTTCCTGTACAAAGTTATCAACGGTAACATTAATAGTCCAGAAATCCTCTCACTAGTTTCATTCAATGTTCCCGGACGGCGAACGCGCACAATGTTAATGTTTCATATACCACATATACTTCTTACAGTTAGGGCACCTCTTGTAACTATTTTGAAATTAATCAATAACTACAACTTATTGGTGGATATAGATTGGTCTCTACCTCAAAACATATTTTACAATCGTATATTGAGTCACATTTTAAATATTTCCATATAATTGTATTAAGCCACATTTCAAAAATTTCTATAAAAAACTTAAACAACTCTAGTGAACTAGTTTAAACCTCTACAATTCTTAGATAAAATAAAATAAAATAAATGTTAAATAGGATAATACGTATCGATTTGTATTAACCATGTAATAAGGCCTTTGTCTGTTTGGTTAAAAATAAATAAATAAATAAATAAATATACATACTAAAAGTATCCTACCCACCACACTTCCTTTGGCTTTTCCTCTGGAAAATTAGCAAAGATATTTTATGTTAATTATTTTAATTTTATTGTTTTTCATCTAATCACTGATATTTTTTAAGGCAGATTAAAAGAAGTAGGAACTGAATTATTTCAATTGCAAGATCGTCACAACCACCACTACATTTTGAGTCCTGTAGGTAAATGCCTCACACAGGACTAGTTTCAATAATCCTAATACATAAATTAATTTTTTAGACCCATGAAGAAGTTGCCAGTGAAATGTTGTCAATATTGGCACCATTATCTTATAGAAATTTTCCTCTAAAGCTTTATCAGATTTCTAGTAAATTTAGAGACGAAATTAAACCAAGGTTTGGTCTAATGAGAGGTAGAGAATTTATTATGAAAGATATGTACAGTTTTGATACCGATATAGAAAGTGCTAAAAAAACTTATGAAGAAGTCTGTAACAGTTATGAGAATATTTTTAACACTATTGGAATAGGTTATGCTAAAGGTGAGCAAGTAATTACAATTGACATTGTTTAGTCAATTAAGAGGTATAAAAATTACAACTTAAGGGTGGAGCCTAAATACTACAAAATTACTTCTGAGATTAAACAAAATCAGCATTCATTCATAATTTTAACAATTGCATATATATGAAGGATACATAATTCTAAATTGTAAGGCATGAAGTTGAGACAAAGGAATCACAAAATATTCCAAAAAAAAAAATATGTATTTAACAATTTGATTGTCTGAGGTTGAAAAGTGTTCAGATAGTTTAGAAATACATTCGCTCTTGTACCACTGATGCCCTCGATATGGGGGCAAGCGAAAGTAATTAATACATGAGGCCAATGTAAACGAACCATAAACGGTCTCGTGACATTTTACATTTTTAAATTACCTAGGTTTTTAATAAATATTTTCTGTACCTTGATGGCTTAATTCTTATGAAACATTTTTTGTTTATGGATAACACTCAGTCCTTACCAAAGACTTTTATTGACAAATAACCCACATCGCAATAAAAATAATAATTAGTTGACACAATAAACACAATGGTATTTTTGGTTTCTGAAACGAAATGAGATTAAAAATTTTTAATAGCCGAGAATCAAAAACAAAAAGAAAATTGGTAATTTTAACAATCCATGTTACCACCGCTAGCCCTTATGCAAGCCTCTATTCGCCTTGGCATGCTTTTATTAAATTTTCAACATTGTCTTGGGGCAGACCTGGGACCGTTACTAAAACAAAGTAACACGTTACTTTATCGTTACTTTTGATGCAAAGTAACGCGTTATATAATCGTTACCGTTACTTTTTTAAAAAAGTAACGAATTATTCGTTACTTTCCGAAAGTAACGCGTTATTGTAACTTCGTTACTTTTAAAGTAACGCGTTACTGCAATAGTAACGCGTCACTGCAAAAGTAACGCGTTACTTTTGGAAATAAATTAATAAAAAGTTGGTGTACATTTTTTACTATAGAAGAAAGGGATAATAAAAGTTATATTGTTATTTGTAATTCATGTTTTATTTAACTAAATGTCTCAACACTTGAAAAATAATCAGTCTTACTCTAGCAGTTATAAGGTTTTAACTTACAAGTGTTGCGACATTTAGTTAAATAAAGCATGTAACAATATAACTTTCATTATCCCTTTCTTGTTCTATAGTAAAAATGTACACCAACTTTTTAATTATTTCCAAAAGTAACGCTTTTTAAAGTAACGCGTTACTTTTAAAGTAACGAAGTAACGATTTTACGTTACTTTGAAAAAGTAACGCTGTTACCGTTACTTTTCGCTGATTTAAAAAAGTAACGTTTTTGTTTCGTTACTCCCAGCTCTGTCTTGGGGTATGTTATCCCATTCTGCTAATGCTGCATCAATAAGCTGTGCGACATTTCCTGCATTGTTTCGACAAGCTCTAACCCTTCTTTTGAGCTGGTCCCACAAGTGATCAATAGGATTTAGGTCTGGTGAACAGCAGGCCAGTCTAAAACTGTAACACCTTTCGTTTCAAGATATTCTCTAGCCACTCTACTGATATGGGGGAGGTGCATTATCGTGGATAAAGATTAAATTATCCCCAAATGCAGCTTTTTAAAGCCTAACGATTGGTTGTAGCACTAAATCAACATATCTCGAACCAGAGCTGGACAGGGCTTGAGTGCTTGTAAAAGTGCTAGAAGCCCTTTGAGGGCTTGAAAGCTCTATGCTCCAAGCCCTTTTATAAACTTGTAATTGAGGCTTGTCAAGTCAATTAATTCAGAAAAGTGCTTGGTAATTTTTAATTGAAAAAAGTAATTTAAATCCTTTCAATGAGCTTCATCAATTACTTTCAAAGAGGTTAAAGCACTTTTATAAGCTTTAAGCAATTTAAAAGGGTTTGAAGCACTTTAAAAGGGCAGGAAGCACTTCGAAAAGGTTCAAAGCACTTTTGAGAGCTCCAAATACTTTAAAATAGCTGGAAGCAATTTGAAATGGCTTCAGGCTCTTTCATGCACGTGTATTCAGTTAAGTAGTTCTCTGTCTTTTTAACACGCTTTTTTTATAAGCTTGGTATGTATGTATCTATGTAACGAAATCTTTGAATGTGATTTTTACCCCCTTCAAAACGTCGGATTGAGTTTTATCCAAAGAATTTGTTTTAAGTTCCTATAACTTGTACTGTAATTAACATAAATTATATCCTTTTTTGGACAGAATTTACTATTATTATTTCTTAATTACTATAGTTTATAAAAAATTGAAAATTAACTTTCATCTACACTTGCTTTTAGTTTGTATTAAAAGAATATTATTTTAAATTCTTCTTATAATAAACATGGGTAAATATAAACAAATAAAAATATTGTTTTATTTTAATATTTTTATAATATGTATTATACAGCATTAAGAGCAACCCAGTCCCTTCTGACGTCACACCGCACGAATCTCACGACCTCCCCTTAAAGTATTTGGAACCTTGTTCGCTACATACATTTGGCAATGTTGTGTGTCGTACGCTGAAGCTCTGGCTGAAGGGTCCGATTACAATTCAGGTATAATTCGTTGGCTATCGCCGCCTACTGGGGGTTAGTGGCTTGTTAATATACGAATGTAGGAATACTATTTTTAAACCAAACAACTCAAATATTTTTTATTTATTAATAGTTAGATGATATACAGGGTGTCCCGAAATTAGACGGTCATATTTTAACAGCGTAATCTACATCCTAAAATAGTAAAAGTTCATATAAACATAGGTCCGAAAACTTTTCTTTTCCGAGATACAGGGTGCTAAAGGTGAAGTCCTGATACCACACTTTTGTAAATATTTTCTAAACGTTTTAAGATAATTAGGTAAAATTTGTTACAAATACTTACCTTTTTACGCTTCATTTATTGGACTAAACCCCAGTTATTGATCATCTTCTTAGGTGGGTAAATTAGGGGGAGCTTAGGGTAAAATTGCCGTGTGTGTCTGTGTGTCTATATCCACCATAACTCATGAACCGATACACAGAAAAACACTAAATTTTAAACTTAGGTTTTATTTCGGCCTGACGTGAAATAATTAGATTTTGGACAAAGTCGGAACATCTGGGGGGGTACTTTATGGGAGGCCGTTTTTATATTTTATTGAATATATCTGTTATTTATGTTTGGAGAAGAAAATTATTCAAATAAAAGTTACTTCTAATATTATTATCTATAATTTTTGCTTTATGTCAAAATTTCCTGAAATGGTCCGTATTCGAGAAATTTGACAAAATGTGCAAAAATGTGCAAAATTCTAAACTACACTAAAAGTTGTTTGCGATATCGATCTCTATTATTTTTGTTTATACATGATTTTTCTAAAATGGACCGTAATGGAAAAATTGTAGGAAAATTGCTAAATTTAAATTTTTCAGTATTTTCGTTTTCAATGAATAACTATAGAAAAATGTTTCGAGGTAGATAGATGTATGTGGAAAATGTATATATTTAGTTTATCCTCTAAACATTTATAGAGGTACTGCAATAAGTTGTAAAAAATAACCAGAAAAAGCCTATAATAACTAGATAGGAAAGTCATGTGTTGGACACATCAGATTTTTTGACTATAAAATTTGGAAAACCAATATTTTCTGTATAATAAAGCTACATTTGTTGCATCTCGCTAGGACGCGCCATTTTCAAGAGAGAAGCATGTTACCTTATTCGAAAGTGTAAACAATAATTAGTAGGTCTGTAGAATTAGAAATTTTATTTTTTTTTTAACTTTGAAAAACCGGTAACTAAAGAAATTTTAGAAAATATTTCATCTGGACTTCACTTGTAACACCCTGTATCTCGAAAACGAAACGTTTTCGGACCTATGTTTATATAAACTTTTACTCCTATTTTTAACCGACTTCATAAAAGGAGGAGGGAGGTTCTCAATTCGTCGCAATATTTTTTTAAATTTTTTTTATGTATGTTCAGCGATAATTCTTTAACACGGTGTCCGATTTCAATGATTTTTTTTTGTTAGAAAGGGGGTACTTCAGGGGTGGTTACATATAAATTTGGTCAAAATCTAATAATTGGGCCCATGAGAAAATTCTCAAACTCTTCATTTTTTATGTATGTTTAGCGATAATGCTTTACCACCTTGTCCGATTTATATGATTCTTTTTTTGGTAGTAAGGGGGTACCTCAGGGGTGATCCTATATAAATTTGGTTAAGATGTGGTGACAGCATCTGCACGTTTTTGAATTCGTTTTTTTTTTTTTAATTTCTAATACTTGTAGGATGTAGATTACGCTGTTAAAATATGAACCGTCTAATTTCGGGACACCCTGTATATTGGAAATTCGAAATAATAGTTATGACGTAGCGGTGTTTTTCTAATTGTAATCGGACCCTAGGTATATGGATACGGAAAGTGATGAATTGGAGAAAGGTAAATTGTATTTATTGTATTAAAGGAACAACAAATATAAGTACAATTAAATAAGTATATTAATATAACAATTTTTTAAAGTCTGTATTAAAAAATTTTTTTTTCATAGATTATTAAATTAAAAAAATAACAATTAAAACACGAAATGTTAAATTTTTCTCTTTTACAACACAAAATATACAATACTGTTGAATCAAAATTTTCTCTTGGCAGCAGGTGGTTTTTGTGACGCGACAATTATGATGCTTTGCATCTCATGAATTAAAGTTAATTCTCTTTCAATCTTAAGGTGTTCATACCTCTTATAATTTTCGGACAAGAATATCTCAAAATATTTAAATTTTGGCAAAATAAATTAGGCAATAATATCTATAATATGCATATATTTTAATGTTTTAATTCCTTCCAGTTTTCCAAAAAAACTAAAAGGGCTTTAATTTTTAAATATCATAATGAAAATAAATGCATTCCTCGACAGCACTATTCTTAATATAATCCCTAAATTTAAGCCCCTAATGTCTTGTTAATGATTTCTTAAAATTTGCCAAAATTAGTGGCTAAAACGCTTCGTTAAGTGCTATCTTCTGGTG